GCAAGAAAGGTCATAGGGTGCCTGGAGGGGCAGGTTGAGCCCCTCCCAAAGTCCCCATCAGCCAGCTTTCTCCATTCTTTGATATGGGCAAGACTTTTCCCAAAACAATGTAGACAGCACTGTGCACTCAACTTCAGAGTGAGTGTTTTAATTTCCATTTTCCAAACAGATGCTTCATAAGCCTAAATACATGGATATTCAAGAGCCACTCCCCCATGTCCTCCACAAGAGAAAGGGACCATGTTTTCATCACTGGTCCTGAGTGACCAGGTGTCTTCTTTCCAGCCCTGGAGGCCCAGGGTATCTTCAGAGATTGACGTTTGCTAAGGGGCTGTTGGTAAAATGTATATAGCTTGTTTTTTGGTTTTTTTTTGTTTCTTGTTGTTATTGTTGTCGCTGTATTTTAAGGAAAAGTAGGCAGGAAATTGAAAGGAGAGTCATGACTTCCTCTAGCTCCTGTGTGAGAATGGCCCCATCTCTGCCTCAGCACTTTTCTGAAGGCTATTCCTCAGGGAGCAGTGGTCTACTAGGCCTCCTATGACTTCTGGGGACCAGAGATCCAGGGTACCCTGCCAGCTTCCCCAGGCCACACACAACGGTAGGGCAGAGAACCTGAGGCTTCTGACATCCAGGCTGGTGCCCCTCATGCTCAAGCTCATTGTCCAGCCCTGAAACGCAGCAAGCATCCTCTGAGAGCCTTGCAGTGGCCAAGGCTGTCAGAGCGTCCGATGCCCTCCTGTGTCCTGGGGTTCAAGTAATAGGGAGAAGATTTTGCATATAAGCAAACTGTCTAGCAGAGAATAATCAACTCGCCAAAGTCATAGCTGGGAAACAGACCATCTCCAAAGACCCAGGCACTCTCCACAGCTCAGAACGTACACGGAGCGGCTGACTGAGTTGAATGTTCATGGATCCCCTCATCTTTTGTGGTTCTTTTATCAAGAGTCAAGAGTCTGTGGCTGGGGACTGAACTGGTCAGTCTGCCCCCATGGTTTGGCTGTCAGAGCCTTGCACGAAGACGCTGAACTTGAGCTAGCAGTCATATGGCCCGGCAAGAAGCACGCTACATCCACAGGGAAGAGGAGATAGCAAACAGTCTTCATCTTCCGGGTCCGCTCCATCCTTCAAGGTGACAGAATGCCGTGCTGAGAAGGGGTCTGAAATCACGTCCGGGGAAGAGTTCTGCACTCAGTGACTTCTGTCCTGGGTGGGGGGATGGGGCAGTGGCGTGTGCAGGGAGACTCTTTGCCATTTTGCTATCACTGCTGTAAACTGACACCTTCTGTGTCAACACACAGTCCAAAGGAACCCAATGCCTAGTCCTGGCCCGGAGGAGAGACAACACTCAGCCTTCCCAGGGTGCACTTCGCTGTTTATTCCTGGGGCATGGAGTAGGGGCAGGTTCAAGAGGGTTAAGGCTTGTAAATTACCATGCGATTGATGTGCTTTAGAGAAATAAGCAGCATCAGTTAGCCCTGGTCAGTTAGCATGGGGTCGTGAGGCCCCCTCTTCTTCCTCGGCTCCTGTCTGGTGCCTTTCAAGACCAAACTGAAGGCTGATTCTTGCATGAGGACTTCTGTGTGCCCTTCTTTCCAAAGTTTCTCTTGCTTCTCTGAGCTCAAAGCTCTTGGTTTGAAACTCACCCAAACATCTGTCAGATTGTTGTCTGGGGAACTTGAGGGACAGACCCTCCCCTCCAAGCACGCTTTTCCTTCCAACCACCCCTCCAGATAAACTGAATATTTCTCTTGCTTAAATTATTAATACCACACTTCCCTTTTGAATGATGGCTTATTCAGAGTTAGCAAAGCACCGTCTTCCTATTTGTATCCTCACTTGACCAAGTCAGCCAGTAGTTGAGAAAATGGAGGCTTATAGAGAAGGCAGAGACTTGCCCAAGGCCCCATGGCCAGGTTTCTGCTCTCCAAATCCCATCTGCTCTCCATTGTCCCATTCTGGAAACCATGAGGTGGACAGAGTTACCAGAAATGGAAGGAGACAGGGACCTAAGTCTCACCCGGGAGTACCCTCTGACCTACGTGTCTGGGGCCATGCTACACCAGGAGACTGCCAGATGGGGACCAGTGAGGGGGGAATGAGAATGTGGGTGGATTACAAGAAGGTAACTTAGCCATTAGGTTTCCTGGCTGAGCTCGGGCAAGTCTCTTTCCTTCTCTGGAATATGGTGCCTCCTTCTCTCTGAAGTGAAGGCTTGGGCTAAGACCTCTGACATTCTAATGCAAGGCTTCTTGATGTGTACATGAGGGAGAGAGGGGAGGCACAGAGCTTGGGCCTGGGTGGGTCTTTTGAGCCCGGTACCCAGGCCCCTGATACCTATCTGGCCATCTACCCCCATCGCCTCCCATCCCACAGGACATGCTGTTTCAGGGACTCTTCTGGGACGGGCCGAGAGGCTGACCTCACGGCAACCAGCTGCTACTCAGGGAAACTACCCAGCAGTTGTTCACACTTATTGATTACTTACAGGGTACAGAGCCCACGTGTTGGGCAGGTGTGCTGTGGGCAAGAGGAGGAAGCAAAGTACAAGACCAGAGGAGCCATTCAGGTTTCAAAGGGGAGGAAAATTGGCCACCCTTCCAACCCTCCATCCAGCCCTCCACCTAGCAAACATTTGGGGATCATCTACTTTCGATGCAGCAGGCCTTGTGTAGGAACTATGGGGCAGGGGTGGGTGTGGAGAGGGGATAAAAGGGGCAGAGGCCACCAGCATGGTTGCCAGGTATGACAAGAGCCCTCACAGCATCAAATCATTGACGAGCAGGGAGCCCCCGAGCAGATGTCTCTCTAGGCAGGTGACAGACTCAGAGTTTCAGGCTGAGAACCATGACAGAAAGGTTTTGAGTAGCTAGCCCTTCTCCATGAGGCTACTTCACTACTTCCCATTTATTGCCTTATACCTGGTGGGACCTGCCCAGCCTGTGAAACAGTATGAATGTGTGACCCACACTGGGGAAAAATGTCAGCAGTATAACATAACAGGACTCCCTTTACCCAGAAGGAGAGTGGGGGCCAGAGACGGAGAGCTTGGGGCTGGGCCTGGGTGCCTCAGGGTCTCCTCTGTGCTCCCCAGCTGCCTGCTTGTGAAACTGGAAGATGCCCCCTCTCTGAACAGCAGTTTTCTCTAACATGTCCAGGGAAAGTCGAAATCAGTGGTTTCAAATCCTATTCCCCTTCCTCCCATCTTGGCACCTTAAAGATTTCCAGAGATGACTCCAAATATTTCCAGGAGTTATTACATTTATTTCTTTTAAAAAGTGTACCTTCTGCTTAAACAAATAGACTGAACATGATTTAAAATGTAAAGGGATAGGTCTCTGATAAAGAAACAAAAATTAAAATAAACCTGGGATATGCACTATCATCTGTATTAATAATCACAGATTGTTTGATAGACAAAATCTTTGACATCATTGAATGATCTGAGACAAAATCATCAAAGGGGTTCCTGGTTGGTGATATGGTGGGAAAGAGGGACACATCCCTGAAGACCATTCAGGTCCAAAACCCACAGATGCTCTCTGCGTAGGTAGTGAGAGAAATCCTTGTGAAGGGGGTGGTGGAGAGTTGACTTTTATGGAATGTCTTCTGCTTACCAAACTCAAACTGGTCAGCTCATAAACATCCCTAGAGGAAGGATGGTGACCATCCCCATTTTACAGAGGAGAAAATAGGCTTGTTCGCTGAGGTTATGCGCCATGCGGAGGTCACTGAGTTGGAAGGTTGCCAGCTTGGCACTTGAACGCCCAGTGGAATGGCTCCAGAGCCAAGGGTGTGATGGGAGAGGTGACGTCCCCTCCAAACACCTCGCCTTTAGTTGCGATGGCTTAGCGCAGGCGCGGGATGACTGACTACCCCAGACGGAGAGGGTGAAGGCCCTGGGCTTCGGGATGTGTCAGGCCGAGGAGGGGACGGGGGCGGAGGTTTCCCCCAAGCATACTTGGAGTAGCTGGGTCGTTCTGGAAGGTGGGTGACAGTCGTCTTCCCGAGCTCCCCGTGTCCCATCTGGGGTCCTGGCGGCCAGCCGAAGCACCGGGTTCGGCTGGGGCCGGGGGGTCTGGGCGGAGGAAAAGGCCGGCCCAGAGCAGAAATAGGAGAAGGGAGAGGGGGAGGGGGAAAGGCGAGGGAAGGAGGCGGGGAGTCCTTCCTGGGGCAGGAACCCGGGCCCCCCTCGGCGGAGCCGGCCCGCAAAGCGATTCCGCAGATGGAAGGAATTAAGTGGGAGGGGGAGGGTACTACGGTGATAGCGAGAGGAGGGAGGGAGGGAGGCGTGTGTGTGTGCACGCGTGTGTCTGGGAGGGGAGGAGGAGCGGCAGAGAAACACATCAGACTAGACGGAAATAGAAAAGACACACACACACACACACACACACACACGCACACGCACGCACGCACTTAAGAGAGACATAACCACAGAAGAAGACGACGAGCCGGACAGAGACAGGGACCCAGGAGATGTTAATCTGAAAGACAGCGGAGAGAGAATGAAAAAAGAAAAATCCGGCAAGAGAAACGAGTGAAAATGAAATAATTGCAGTGGATTTAGAAAGAACGAGAGACAGAAGAGCTCCAAGCAGAGCAAGAGCAGATTGATTAGGCCGGGGCTGTCCTGAGCTCCCGCAGGCTCCGGGAGTAGGGCGGGTGGGCGGGCGGGGAGTGGGGAAGGGCCTGGAAGGGGCCCGCCCAATGGGCAGGCCAGCAGACCGCGGCAAGCACAGATGAGCCCTGATTCCTCTCTCGCCCCGCCCCCCTACTCCATATTCAATGATACGGCCAATGGAAGGCGAGGACAGTGTGTAAGGGGCGTGGTCTATTTGGAGCCCGCCCCGGGAGCGGCTGCCGAAGGGGTCAGCACTGAGGCAGATAGCGGATCCCGGGGCGGGGCGGGGCGGGCGGTGCGGAGGGGGCGGGCCCAAAAGTTTCCTGCCCAACTTTCGCTGCCTCCTTCCTCCGCCCGCGCGCGCTGCGGCTGCAGTCGGGGGGAGGTGGCGGCGGCGGCGGTGGCTGCGGGCAGAGCGCAGGGCTCACGGCACTGGGCGATCGCCGTCGGGGCTCGGGCGGTGGGCAGTGGGCGCAGGCTCCCCGGTGCCCGCCCCTCCGCTGCGGGGGAGGGGGGCGCAAGCGGGCGGCCGGGGAGGGGCCGGCACCGCCGCCGCAAAATGAGCCTGCTGTCGGCCATCGACACGAGCGCCGCTTCGGTGTACCAGCCCGCCCAGCTACTCAACTGGGTCTACCTGTCGCTGCAGGACACGCACCAGGCGAGCGCCTTCGATGCCTTTCGGCCCGAACCGCCCGCAGGCGCCGCGCCCCCAGAACTGGCGTTCGGAAAGGGCCGCCCGGAGCAGCTGGGCTCGCCCCTGCACTCCAGCTATCTCAACAGCTTCTTCCAGCTGCAACGCGGAGAGGTGGGTGCCCCCGCGCGCCCCCGCCCTCCGTCGAGCGCGCCGGGCCTTTTCCTATCCGCCTGGCTCTTCCTGGCCTGGCCCGGCCCGGCTTGGTATTGCCCGGCCCTGCTTGGCTTGGCTTCGTTCAGCTCTGCCAAACTCGCCACCCGATGTCCCCGGGGCGCCGGGAGCGCGTTACCTCCCGGCTGAGCCCGGCTCCCAGCAGCTCAGGCGCGGGCGGGGCCCTCTTGCTCCCTCTCCCAGCTCGGAGCGCCCTGTTGAAGCGAACTGGGGGGAGCCCGGGCTGGGCGAGGGGCTCCGGATTCTCTCCAGACAGCCCGGGCGCGGCCAGGGCGGAGAGCCCCTTCCAAGTGTCCTTCCCACGCCCAACCCCATCCCCCTCTTGGCCACCGCTCGCTGGGACCGGGAGTGCAGATTCTGCTCTGAGCTTCTCTGCAGGGGCCTAAAATCTTTTCTCCTCCGACCTCGGTGGTGGCTGACCCGAAGGGCACCCTGGAGAGCAGGGCTTTTCCTGCTGTTCTTACACAGGGACCCCCAGATACATCCTCCAGCTGCTTGCCCTCCCCCAGCCACATAGGAAGTGGTTTTTGAGGGCTTGACCCCACAGACTGTGCTGTCCCCCGCCCTCCCAGACTGGAAGGAAATGAAAGGGAAATCCTCTTGAGCTCTTGGGAGGGGGGCTAGCCAGGGGGAGAGGTTTCAGCTGCCCAGTGCCTTCTCCAGAAACCTGGGCTGGCTGCTTTGCAAAGTCTGCCTGTTGGGTGGATTCGGTTACAAAGTGGAAGGGGCAGTGTGTCTTCCTCGCCAGATAAATACACAGATTGCCAGGACCTCCCAGCCCCTTTTCAGAGGTCTTCTCCAGAGCTTTCCTAGATACCACTCCTCTCTCCTTTCAGCTGGACTCCTCCTCCTCCTCCCCTCCCATCTACTCTGGTCTCTTTTGGGAATTGCAGATACCCTTCTGTGGCCTTCACTCATCTGTCTTCTGGCAGCTCTCCCTGCAAATGTGCAGGGGGAAGGGGTGGAGGAGAGGACACGCTTGAGGGTTCCTTTTCCTTCTGGGCCTGAGCATGGCATTTGGTTTGGGAGACTCAGAGTCCTGAATGAGTCAGGGACAAGGGCCTGTGAATGTGCAAGTGTGCTAGGATGAGAGGGGAAAGGCAGAGGGTCTCCCTTTCTGGTCCCATAATGTGTTCAACTCTGCCAGAGGAGGATGTGGACATAAAACACTGACCTGAGGCATAGAAGTGGGCCAGTACCGTGTGAGCTGAGAGAAGGACTGATTGACCTGTGTTGGGTCCCTTGGGCATAGCGCAGGGAGATGGGTCTGGAGAGCCACCCTTTGGTGCCAAGTGAAAGCATTTGTCTACCAAAGCTCTTTGTAAACTGTAAAGCACTCTCTCCACGGGAGGAGTTATTCTTGGCTGGGAATCCTCTCTCTTATAAGAGACTTGCCACCTCTTCAGGGAACTGGCTCCAATGACCGGCGACTTTGGAGTACAGGTTCTGGGTGTTTCCCCACTGCCTGGGTCTTTTTAGTTGTTATCTTACCAAACATTTGTTGAGTTCCATGTGCGCCCTTGGGGAAGCAGGGACAGATCAGTGAGGGCCCCAGATGAGAAGACAGACAAGATGTTACAACGTGAGTGGTAGGTAGTTTCGTGCGGGTGCTGTGGGAATCCCAAGGAGGACAGTGGCCATGACCCGTGTGACCATGAACTCTCACCCCTCACAGGTCGAGTGGGGCGGGGTGTCCCTAAACATCCTCTACTAGCCTTCCCCAGTTCCTACCCAGTGGTTGCCTTCTTCCCTGAATGGGGGTCTCTGCTGAGAGGCTTGGAAGTTTGGGGCCATCCAAAGTCTTCTGTAGGAGTAGGAAGTGGTGACTTCTGTTGGAAATGTCTAACATTTCCATGAGATCCCAGTTGGATCTCAGTGAAACCTGTCTCTGGTCACTTTGCTGCTGCTGACCCCAGCTTCCCTTGTGAGGAGGGCCAGTGTAAAAGGAGCTGATAAAGGTTATGCAAAGCAATGGTAGATAAAAGTCTCTTATGACCTGACTTTGGGGGAGCGCCCTGTCTCTGCCTCTGCCTCAGTTTACACATTCGTTGAATTTAGTCTCTGCTGCCCCTTAGGGTGGTATGGATGGGATTTGAGAGATACATACGCAAGCAGACGGGCCGAGCTGGGGGAGGTAAGAGGGGCTTCTCCTACGCTGACAGGCCAGTGGCTTCCTTGGAGGGGCTGGAGGGCTGTGCGGGCTGACTTCCGGATGGCTTCCTGGGCTGTCGACTCACTGGCTCTCACCCCTCACCCGCTTCGCCTCCTAAAGCCTCTTGGAGCCCCAGCTGTGCTCCTGGGCTTTCCTGCGCCCAGGGCTTAGCCAGTGACCTAATATGGCTCCGAAATAGCAACTGGCTGAGAAGGCATGAAAAAATACCCCCCACCTACCTGAATGCCACTGAGGGGCTGGTTGGAGAAGAAAATCATGTGTGGGCCGGAGGGGACTCTGTGAAGGGACCCAGGGACTCAGGAGCATCGCCATTCTCTACAAGGCCTGGCAGGCCTGGTGGCAGTGCCTGCGGATGTGACTTGCATGCTGACCGCTGACCACGGCCTGTCTGCGCGGGTCCCGGTGCCAAGAGCCCACCCCCTCCCGCACCACCCCTAGGCTGCTCCCACCACAATAGCAAAACACCATGAATGCAGCTGGGATTTGGGCGGGGGGGTTGAGGACATGGGGGCACAGAAGCCCATTGTGCCCCTGGAACCTCAGCTCTGGAAGCTGAAGATAAGCCAAGGGTTCTGAGTGGAACACTGGCCCCAGGAGCAGAGAGATGGCAGAGTCTGTGTACGAGGGCAGGAGCGACACCAAGAGGTATCTTGGATGCCCATGGGGGCTCTTCAGCTTCTCAGCTGGTGATAAAGGTGCCAGGCCAAAGCAGGGACAGACATTTTGTGCAGTTTTTTAAAGGCCTCGGTCTAGAATATGGGCCCTGGAGCTTCAGTTTCAACCCTCGATCTGTGGCAACGACTACATGTCTTTGAAGAGAGACTCCGGGGGCTCTTGGCTGAGCCCCTTCGCTCTCCTCTTAGGTACCCAGGAAGGCTGCTCTTAGAGGGAGTGGGGGGTTGGGTGGTGTGGGGGTCTTCCCTGCCAAGATTAGCTTGGAATTTAAATTCACAGCAGTGTAGGAGCTGTGGGACTCCACCTCCAGAAAAGGAGACATACCCCTCATTGTGAGAATGAGAATTAGCTCTTGGGCCCCTCAGAGGGATGCCCAGAAGCCTTCCTGCGTTGTACCTGTGCTCCCTCAAGAGGAGCTATGGCTGTCCCACTCCAAGTCAGAGTCCGAGGGCGGCTGTTATCTTTCCGTCTTCCTCCAGGGATAGACAGACGTGGCTTTACAGTGAAACCATGGTTTGTGGAGGCTGGGGGAAGGGCTTTGGGGTCAAATCTGTCTGGAAAGCAAAAGACTGTCCTTCCCTTGGAGACACACAATGCCCCCCCTGCCCACCCCCAGCACTGTGAAGGCTCTGAGAAGTCCTGCAGCATAGAAACTTATTTCCCTCTCGTCAGCCCCACATTTTCATCAGTATTTGACCAGAGAATGTTTTTGGCATAGAACGTTTGACAGTATTCTTCTGAACATCTCCAGGCCCAGGGATGGCTCCGTTAAGGCACATCTCTTCCAACCCTCAGGACATTCTTCCAGGAGCTGTTGACTCAAGCCCTCTCCCCAGCCCCACCCCGATCCTGGCGCTATCGACCCCAGCACTGCAGACCCCCTCGTCTTTGCAGCGCTAGCCTGTCCACTGAAGGCAGCAGGGGTGTCCCAAGGCTTTATGGACAGGGCTTCAGCCCTTCTGCAGAGAGGGCTATTAGACCCTTCGAGGCGCCACTAAGGTGTCCTGCTTTCAAGGGCCCCTGGGTGTTGACAGTCCTGTGAAGGTTTTGTGTGTCGTCTGTGCTGCCCACAGGTGCAGGTGAGCCCAGGCTGCCTGACCAGGGCGCAGGTGCCGACGAAGCCCCAGCCCGTGTGAGGATGGAGGTTTGCCTCAGTGGGGCTGAGAGTGGGCTTCCGGGACTGGAGTTCGTTCCTAGCAACTTTCGTGGTCTGTGTGTGTTGGTGGGGAGGGGGCAGCGCCAGGTCCCGGGAGGGACGGGCCTTCCAGACCAGCAGAGCCTGGGAGGCTGCCTGGCCCCTTTGGCCAGCCCTGGGAAGCTGAGCTCTGACTCAGGCAAGGAGGGCCGTCACTCGAGGGCCTGTAGGCTGAGGTGGCCCTATCCTCCCTCCATCAAAGTAAGTTGACTGGGCAGGCCTGGACTCAGAGGGGAGGCCACACCTTGTGGACCTTCTGAGTCAGGTGGGAGGGAAGAGATCAGGCAGGATTAGTAATTTGTAATGAGCAGTGGCAGTGAGCCAGGCTCTGTCAGCGCCTAAAGGGGCTCCTTGCGGAGAAGACGGCCCCAAGTCATGGTCCCTTACTCTTGGGCAGGGCTTTCTTCTTGGCATCTCTTTCTTCATCTCTTTCTAGAAGAGAAAGCAGGCCTGGCAAGTCACCCTCAGCGAGTCGGTGGCCGGGCTACATCTAGAATGCCTCCATATTCCAGCTAGAACTGGCTCTGTGGCTCATTGTGCTGGCTGTCGCCTGGATTGTTCTCGGGGGCCCCAGTGCAAGGCAGGCAATCACCAGGAACATTCTGTCAAGCTCTGGGGCCTCTTATGTGTTGCCCCCAATCTCAGACCTTTTGAGGAGTGGTGGGCACTGGTCCATTCATCACGGGTCCCAGCCGTTGCTCTGTGTCCGTACCTCAGTCGTACCCATGGCTCCAGCCCCTCCCCAGAGACCGAGCGTGGGGCTCCCTGGGATGGAAGTCCAAGGATAGCCTGGCTTGGGGGAGTCAGAGGATGGGCATGAGCACTCGCTGGCACTTTTCTCTCATGGCGCAATCGGTGTGCAACGTCCCCATTGTCCAGGTGGGGAAACTAAGGCTC